TATTGTAAAATTTGAGAAATGGTGAACTGTGCATAAAAGCATTATTATCAAGATTGGGTAAATTTCTCAACTTAAAGGTGCCCAGCGAAAGATTTTCCTGCAACTAATTCTTACAAAATACTTAACTAATTTTCCCAGGGTAAATGGTATTTTTATTGACTTACTGATATTTGATCCTCCTTTTCTGAATTGATAAAACACATTAATGCCTATAAACTATAAAAATATCCTCAGGTACCCTCCTGACAAGTACCCTGTCATGGCATTCAAAGGGGCACCTGCCAGCTTTCCTGTGGCACAGAGACACGTAAAGCTACACAAGTATTTCCAGTGGTCAGAGACCATAGAAAAAGAAGCTCAGGACTATATAAGTAAAACATTCCAAGGCGATTCATTTATTGGTATTCATCTAAGGAATAATGTTGACTGGGTGAGAGCCTCTTGTAAGACCTTTCCACATCAGTGTTCTGATACATGTGTAGCTTTTAAAAGATACATACAAGTAATAGCCTTATCTCGGTATGTTAAAGTACAACTTACATGTAGGATTTTTTTAAAATAACTTATTATTATTTTTTGTCTTCTATGTTTTGATGTTGCATAATTTTTTGAAGGAACGTGCTTGTGAGCATGCAGATGGTCTTCCTACCTACATGGCATCACCACAGTGTCTGGGGTATTCAGGGGTTGATAGAAAAGTTACAGTGAAGATGTGCTTTCCACCAAAAGAAGAAATTCTCAGGTAAGTTTCTTTTATGAGGAGACTTCTATAAAAATTCATTTATGACAAGATGGGAGCCTCTGGGTTTATGGATAGACACAGTTAAGGAACAAGTCATAGACCAAATAAACTATAATGCACTTGAATTTTTCCTTATTTTCAGATTGACCAAAAACATTGTGATAAAGACCAGGGCCAAGCATATTTATGTAGCAACAGATAAAAACCCTATGATTAAAGAAATAGAAGATCATTTGAAACCACAAAAGGTATTATGTCTATTTAATTGTGGTATTTATATATACTTTTTAAAGAAATATAAACATTTGTTTCAACATTTTCAAATTTAGTTTGGAGTATATTTGTTCAAAATGCAGCTTACACCTGTTTCTAATTAATTCATTGTGAAATAACCCGAATGATTTAAAGAGAAGTAAAATGATATTCCAGGTAAAAGTACACCACCTTGACCCCTGGCTACCACAGATAGATCTAGCCATCCTTGGACAGGCTGACCACACCATCCTTAACTGTGTTTCTTCGTTTTCTGCTTTTGTGAAAAGAGAAAGAGACATAAGTGACAAACCAAGTTCATTTTGGGGATTTAGCTGAGATGCCCTGAAAAAAAGCAATTTTTAAAAAATTAGTTTCCATCATCTCTTTAATATTATATATTTGGTGTGAACCATTACTGTTACCAAGCGGGCACTTAATTGCTAAACTGGTTTATTTTTAGTGCAACTGTGTCATGTAGATCTGCTGGCTGTGAGCTGTTCAACCAAATATGCAATAATATATATGGTTTTTGAAAATAGCAGAATACAGACATGATTTTTAAACTATTGGCAATAAATATTTTTATACATTTTTTAGTTTATCCATTTTAAAGAACACTCAAAGTACTGTCTTGATGATATGCAGTAAGATTTCATGGATGTAGCCTGCAGACGAAATGTGTTTATACTGGGTATTTGAATCTCCAGTTGCATAGATTGTCATATGGCTTGCTATGGTTTTGTCCAATACTGCATAGTGTCATTTTGAAGGTGATGCCAAACAAAAACTTACAAGATAAAGAAAAAGCTGCAAGGCCTGCATATCACTTCCAGCCAGTAAACAGAAAGAGTGTGTGATGGCACGTGAATTAATGGAAAGTATATGCAACAGTGACCCACTTCAAGTAAAGGAAAGGATGCATGTTGTGTGCCAGGTCCACTATCCATATTATATTGCAGCTGAATTGGGGTTACATAATGCTATGAAGAAAGCAATCTAGTCTCCATTGAGCATGAATATTTATTTCTTGATTTTATATATAATCATCATAATAAGAATACTTCTATTAAAGATGATCCTTGTTATTCTTAATAAATATAAATTATTGGTCTGTCCTAGACACTGAAATATATCAAATGTACAACAAAAAACAAACCTACAAATCTGTAGTGTAATTGCCAGTTTACAACGTGGCTCCTTTTAAAATCATGTTCTTCTTGCAATCAAGCAATAGATACAATTTGGTAACAAATATGAGCAATAAAGCTTTCCTAAAATCGATGTTTTATCAATTTCACACTAAACAGAATTTTATGGAAAATTTCCTGGGTTTCATTTTTACATATGCATTAAAAAAGCACAGTTTAGATTAATCTAAGTATGATGTCAGTCTAGTACTTCTGTTTTTATTCAAGATGGTGCGCTTGCTGAAAAACCAATGTAGCTGGCATTGTTTTTAAAAGGCTGAAAATTCAGTTTTGTGCATTCTCCAGTGCTTGCAAAATGTCCTCGTCATTCACATCTTCCATCTTCATGGGTATTGGTTGACTGGATTTCTGAGAATTCTGAGAAGTCCTGGGGGTGCTGTGAGGAGTCACAGGGGTAAAGCTACCCTGAGATGACTTTCCTGGAAGATGAAACCATACAACAGTATCATTACAAAGCCATATGAATTTGTGTTAAATTAAATTAAAAAAAAAAAAAACTTTTCACAAATCAAGAGAGATGACAACAGCAAAGCAATCAAATGTTTTTTTTTCTTTCTTCTTAAAACAAGTAAACATGAACAAATAGAGAAATCCACCCCAGAAAATGGACTCAAATTTATCCAGGTACAAATAACAAATAGAAAGAGTAAATCAATACTGTAAAGCTGATCCTCACCATCCTCCTTTCCTCCATTAATTAACCTTTGACTTTCCTCAAAGTACTGGTTGGGGTGCTGGAGTGCAAAACTTGCCTCCTCTTCTTGTATTCCATGTGTGAAGTTAAAAACCATTTTACAAGCAATCTGGTAATGTCCTTCTTTCACCTTGCTAATCACCTAAAAATCAGAAAAAATACCAGTGATGTCAGTAAAGTGTACTTTTCAGTGACACCACATGTAGTTTTGTAGAATACAGGAAAAATTGTGTGACAAAGAGAGTAATTTTGCCTCGCACCAGACTTAAAGAGAGCAAGCAAAACATGTTAGTTTTAATTCTTTCAATTGATTTTCTTAAGCAATGTACATAAATATAAAAAAAAAATTCAAACTTACTGCTTCTGAATTCTCTTTGCCAATTTTCAAATTGGAAAGTTTTTGCCGTAGCATATCTGAATCACTGTGACGGAAGGGGCAACCTGTGAGCACAAACATATCTCTTTATGCATCAAATGTCAAATATTTCGAAGGGATAAAACCCTTGATCATATAACATGGGTTCTGAAATTGTAATTTCTGGTTTATAAAGTTGCATCATATAGAACACATTTTGGGATTTTGATCAATGTGATATGGAATTTTGGAACATTGAACAATGAAAGGTAAAATTTGATAATTTAAACATTGATAAAAATAACATTAAAAATATGGCTTTTGGTCTTGAAAAAAAAAACACATGAAGATAATTTACAATGTATTTTTTGCAATATATCATTACTGACCATGTCCATCCCCAGGACCTGGGGCATTAGAGGTGATAATCTTCAGACAGCTATATGGAGTGTAGTCTGCCCGCTTGCCCTCTTTACCATAGTTGTGGCGAATGTTGTAAGCATATTGTTTATCAAACTGCAATAAAAAATAATTAAGAAATACATATAAAGTTATAAAAAATAATTAAAATGAACAAGAAAGTAAGTTTAAGAATATTTTCCTTCAATTTGCCTGTGATGAGAATATTTAATTCCCACAGTATGTAATTTCAATCTTAACTGAAGGAAGAGACAGAATAGGAACAACAGGCTTGCATTTTAAATTATTCAAATCTATTATGCTTTCAACATCAATTTTTTTTTTTTTTGTCTTACAGTCATTAATATAAGTATAATTACAAACCTTATCAGGATCAATGGGTCCCTTAGTAAACTCATCCTTCCAGAACTTGAGGGCCTCCTCCAGTGAGAGACCTATAGCCTTTAGGAACAGGCCATACTGCATACGCCCCCAATGGCGTAAATGGTGATCTCGACGCAGACCATCATGAAGTTGTAACATACACAGAGGGAAGGACTTCTTGGAGAGCTGTAAGAGTAATATATAAATGTCAACAAACTTAAAACGATATGGACAAAACAGGTGTGCAAATTCACACAAACAACTCTACTTCCTTATGCCAGAAGAAAATACTTGTCCTAATCCTTAAGATTTATTGATTTATGTTTTACCATATCAATCATGGCTGCTGTAACCTGTCCTCCTGTAGGTTTCCTGTTGGAGTAGTCTTGTCCCAGGTATCTCTTACTGAGGCCACTCAACATAGGCAGCAACCTGTCTTGTTCCTCCATGTGAGGTAGTGCCCTACATATTACCTGTGTAAATGATGAAAAAATACCATAACAGATAAAAACTGATCATATTTTCAGAAATTATTTCACAGTGTAGTAGATATAATAAACAATTCAAATAGCAGTGGTTCAAAATAAACCAATGGCCAAAAGAAATTAAATTTTCTTTTTACATCCATCCAAACTCAAGACCATTTTTTAAGAACCAAAAATGAAAATTATAAACACACGTCACTTATAATACACAAATATTACACATAACTTCTTTGCAGAACAATAGGTACATACTTACTGCTAAAGCATGGGACAAATGTGTTCTGAAAACACCGAGAATTATAGAAACTAGCTCATTGTAGGGGACATACACATATCCCCTGTGGACATAGACCTTCCTTGCTTTGACCAGGTCTAGGGCTTCTGTGAACGGCACCTAAGCAAAATATATACAATCTCCTGTTATAATCTAGGCAGTGGCATTTTCAAGAAAATGCAAACTACCGTATTCTATAGGTTAGGTTTTGTGCTCTATTGGACTTAGTCCATGTAATCCATCATACTGGAAACTGATAATTGACTCTGATTGGAACAGGTGCTAGTAAACCAGGTTTGTTGCCAAGCAACTACAAATTGCCTCTTGTTCCAGGCAATGATGCAGGTGTTTATTATTACAATTATTCACTCAACAAAATACAAATCACAAAATATGTCTCAAAAACCTAATCAAGTCCAGACAACTAAAACGAATCTTACCCTATAAAAGTCTGTGGCCTCTGCTAAAGAGATGGTCATATCTTTGTGTGAATCTGCAAGCTTTTTAAGTATGCCCTGCTTTTCCTCAAATGGAATCTGTAAATAAAAAAGGTATGCAAACTAAACCAAATTATCTAATGTAAAACCAGTTTCTTTTAAATTATTTCCATCAAGGTGGCAAAGTTACTATTAAATACATAACTGTGCCAGACATCAAAATGTGTTCCAACTAAATCTGACTACTTTTTATTAATACAATTATTTATCATTTATGATTTTTTCTTGATTAAGAAATTGAAAATTGATCACCACAGTAAAAACAAATACTCACTGGAGAATAATTCAGCTTGTTTTCCTTTAAAAACATCTGAATGCTCTCTTTACTTTCCACTGAGAACCTGTATCTAAACAGGTCCGTCTCTTGCTGAATATACCACCTGCGCAATTCATCTCTAGAAATACAATTTATTTACATGTCATTATAAAATAATTCTAAGTAGCATCATAAACTTATTTTTACAAATGCCAGTTGTGCAGTAATATGTTTTAGTGTACACTTTTACTACCTTAGTTAAGAGAGTATACAGATGAACATAAGTTTCCAGTTTTATAATAGCTTCCATACTGTAATGCTGTCTAGTGCAAAATGTAACTATAACTATCAATTTCACGTGCAGTTGAAATACAGCAGTATTTCACAAGATGAGCAGGTGAAAGGTGGGCATCTGGATGGGGGCGTCTCGATACTCCGAAGGTTCATTGGTACGAAGGTTCATTGGTCCAAAAAACGGTAACCTTTTCATCGGTTTTTTAATCAAAGGTTCATTGGTCCGAAGGTTCTGTAGTGAAGATTCGGACCAATGAACCTTGGGACTATTGAACCTTCGGACTATTGCTACGGCCCCATCTGGATATGAACACTTACGACTTGCAGTAAGCCAGCCTGAGCACAAAGTGGGAGATGAGGTCCTTTCTTATATCATCATACTCCTTATCACTCATGTCATAGATGCTTCCATTCTACAAGTGAAAAACGAAGTGAAAAAATCAGAAACTGACTGTACTTTCATATTCTAACATTCTTTCTAACATCTTTTATAAAAAGGATAAAATCCCTCACATAAAAGTACCCGATATCAATATCAACATGTACAGTAGTAGTACATGTGTACCTCTGAAATGTCACCCAAAGGATATGGTGGTCAAAATAAATCATAGGTCATTTAGAACCAAGTTGATTAGAAATGGTACAAAAACATCAAGGGCAGCTTGAACAAAGACTCCTAAATATGAAAAAATAACTACCTTTGGTTTGCTGCTGTGATTGATGAACTTTTTAAGTTCATCCCTCACTGAATTATTGTATTCATCTGATCCTTTGAGGTGCTTCGCTCCTGCATTTTCTATAGCTTTCAGCACTAAAAACACAGAAAAACATTACGTGAGACATGTGCATGATTAATATGATGGCGCTTTGGAAGTATCAACATTTGAATCAATGACTAAAGCAATAAATATTAGTACTCAAGGTTCTTAAAGCACCAACCTAGGGCCAGATATTCACTGCTTTCAGTAGTACCAGTACAGTACCACGAGTAGTACAAGTATCCTATTTTTGAATCTTAAAAGATTTAATTTGTCATATAGTATACCAAACTGTGACGATTTAATATAACACGATGACACTCTTACTTCATCACACTATGATTCATTAATGTTTGTTACTTGCGAAAGTCAGAAAGATGTACTTGTTAACATTTACGTTTTAGTCTTTCCACGGCATAGTCCTCAAATTCCTGCAAAGAAATCACATCTTTCGGAGGCAGCGTGTAAAACAGCAGATTATGTGTGAAACGACTCTTATCTCGATCACCACTAAGCTTGGATGCCTTCAGTCTCCTTTGTTTTGTTACTTCCATCTTTCAGTTTGTAAACTTTCGCGCGTTAATATTTAGGTCAAGTTGAAGGTAAGATGTGGTCACGCGCTTTCTCGAACCAAGAACCAAAAT